CCGGGATTGGTCAAACGCCGCGGTGAAAAAGAGTCTTGAGACTCGCTGAGGCTTTTTATGGCTAAATAAAGGAACGTAATTATATTTTTCTTTTTTGTCTGAGAGATGGCACATACAATGAGCACTTTGTGGAATTCAAAGTCATCGTCCTTCCTGCAAATCAAATACACACCCAGCGTGTAAGTATCAAGGCCAGTTCACAAAAGGTTTCTCAAACTCGCATACAAAAGGAAGACGAAAAAGAAATCTGGTGCGATATCTCCGCACCAGATATTTCAGGTTTCACAGATTTTGAGCCTCTGTTATTCGGTATGGAACAGTTCAATTATTGAAATCCAATTCTTATCCTCACGATATGTCATATGATGTACCTGGGAATAGATTACTTACGATCCATGCAGGCATACTCGAGTCCGATTTGATGACCTTACATTTAGTAGAATGGCATCCATAAGGTCGTGCAGGGAAAGAGATGGAGCGGCTAAGTCAGCTCGTGTACGGTAGTTACCGCTACGCAGGATCACGGGATGTCGCTTTGGGAGGAGGTCTTCATCCAGCAGTGGATTTACCGTGGCCAATGATGACATTTAGGATAAAATGGGGCAAGCATCTGTACAAACGAGGCGAAAATACGAGGCAAAATTTTTATTTATATATTTTAAAAGTCACATCAGGATCGTCAATCTGCAATCCGTGGAATCTTGACCGGGGTGTGCTGTGATGAGCGTATACACTATGAGCAGCGATGTCGATCCAAAGAGAACAATTCTGAAGCAGACTTCTCATTGGCCGCGCCCTCGCCCCCTCCACCTAAACAAGACACATTCTGGCTGAAGGACAGTCACACTGTGCACGGCTTTCCATTGCTCCTGGCGATTACAGTTACCTCGCACGAGCACGGCGGACACTTGGCAGTTCTGCGAAGTGCTGGGGGGCAAAGCCCGCTTGTGTTGCGGGGGGCACAGCCAGAGACACTTACTGTGCCGCCACCGCTGCTGCTGCTGCTGCTCACATTGACGTCTGCTTCACTGCTCACCTTGCAGGGGCCGCGCGCGTGCCGTGCTGTACGTATGTACGTACATTGGACTTGTTTCGCACCGTACGTAGCCAACCGTACTGATCGGAGTTGTGGGGGGGGGGGGGGGGACAACAAAATAAACACAAAAAACTGTTCTGATGAAATTAGTTTTGAATGTAGATTTAAACGTGCATAGCTCCAGTGGCTTTCCAATATCGGAAGGAAGAGCGTTCCAGACGGCCGCAGAAGTGCATTTGAAAGCGCACGATGCAATGTCCGATGGCTAACCAAAAGCCGCTGCGAGGACGACCGGAGTTTGCACGCTGGCTTATGCTCCTTGACGACATTAGCAAGGTATCGTGGTTCATTTGTGGCAAGCACTTTGTGCGTAATGAGCGGGACCCGGTGACGTATTCGTTCGGCAACCGGGAGCCAATGCAGCTCGGCGAGCTCTGGACGCACGTGGTGGGATCTCGCAGGATCCGTCACGACACGTGCCGCATCATGTTGCACCCACTGCAAAAGCCGGGACGTGTTTGGGAATGCTGGTAGAGTGCTGTGAACCCGATGACCCGTGTCCGATGCCCTTTGATGGAGAGTGACATCTCACCTGGTCCGGGGCCTCCTACCATTTCCCAGCCGTGACGAGGCCTTTATCCATGAGTGGACTGAACAAAGGGTTTCACTTATCGGGAGTAGTGGTCATGCTTCATGGCACAGGAATTAAAGTCCTTGTGCAGAAAGCAAAAGCAGTTATATCATTAATAATTAAATTACAACAGAAACATTCTGGAGTATGCTCACGCTTGGGTAACGTTAGTAATCCTTTCTCAAAATATGTGCTGCCCATGATGAGAGCTAACACGGTGCGGTGTACATGAAATTTGGGCGGTCAGTAATATAATTGCGTGTGTGTGTGTGTGTGTTCGTATGTGTATTTGGTTCATCACATTGGTTCAGCAGATTGCATTAATTCTTGAGCTCACGACGCATGCATCGATTTGCTTGAATAGATTTATTTGAACTCGTGTGCATCATTGTGGGTCTGCGCGGCCCTTCTATAAATCGCAAGGAGAGGGTGAAGCGTTCCACCGCCAATGTCAATATATTTACGCGCGTACATTTATGTGCGTATTCGCATTTGGCTACGTTCACATTTTCATTCGTAAAGGAAAAATCGGGATGAAAACAATCGCCGTTTCACAGAGGAAATACCACGAATTATGTATAAATTACTTATACGGATGTAAGGCGATGCCATTTGTGGTGATGGCTTAGAGTCTCGTGAATAGGGCAGGGAGGGGGTTGGAGAAACTAGACCCAGGTGCCGTGGGTAGCTGGCGGGGTGGTTTTTATTTTTTGGCCTTAAGAAGAGCGACATTCCCACCGAGCTGTGGAGAGTTAAACCTCTGCCCGATCAGCGCGATCAGCGCGATCCAAATTCACGTGCTTCCAGCAGCAACAACAAAACACGCACACACATCCACGCCTTCAAAACGACACCACTTTTGACCTTAAACGAAGTATTGCATCAGCGTTGGGGCCAAGTGTGCAGACGCCCCACTGCGTCGGCTGGGTACCATTTGCGTCGGGGGGGGGAGGGAGGAGAGAAGAGCGAGATATTAAAAATAAAAATATAAACCGCGGGAACACAACCGTACCCGCCGTCGTCCCTCGAGCAGCGCGTTATGTCGCGTGGGGCGGGGGGGGAGGTGGCGGTTGTTGCCGCTCACCGCCGGTGGGGCTCTCCCATTCCCCACCTTGCACGCCGAGCCACGGAGCGTCGTGGCGACGGTGGTGACGCCGGTGGTGGCGGCTGCCGTTGTTGTGGCGTGCGAGCGCGCGGAGCGGAGCGGCAGCTGCGGGCTCAGCGGGAGGCTTTCGCGCGGCGCAGCGGCACAGCTGGGCCGCCAATATGTCGACGGCACCGGCAGCCGCCGAGCCTCTTTAACCCCGAGGAGGGAGAGGCGCCTCGCGACGCCAACCTCCCCCCCCCCCCGTTACCCTCTTCCTCCTCCTCGTGTCGCCAGTCACGGCCCCAGGGAGCGCGCGGCGAGCTCCCGCCTCGTGCTCCTGGCGCTCTCCCCGTCGCCGCTCGCTACGACCGCCTTGCGACCGCCTTGCGCGGCCGTGCGGGACTCTCGGCGCGCACACCGGCCGTGCCGCTGTGCGGGGATTGTGCGTGTGCGGCGGTTACCGCCGACGTGTTACGAGCGAGCGAGGATTGTGCGTGGTGCTACCGCTGTGTCGTAGCGATTGCACGGCGGCAGTGTTCGTCGCAACGGTGCCCAGGAAAATGCGCAAGCAATGGGGAAAAAGAAGTTTGTGGGGTTGCGTTGGATTTTGGGGATTCGTTAATGGGGTTTTTTTTTAAGTGGTAATAACGTGAATGTTTAGTTTTTTTTTGCTGAAGTGGATTTTTGTTGTTATCATAATTTGTGGTGGAAAATTTGTAACATTTTCACGAAGTGGTGATGTAAGCAAGTGGCTGTAACAAAAAAAATCTACCGAAAATTTACGTTATTTCAACGTTTTGCTATCAACAAAATATTGTAATAATGATCCATTCTTATTACTTCTGTTTTTTTTTACAAGTATTGTAATTTCATTTACAGTATTACCAAATTCCAGTGTAACATCATTATTTTAGATCGGTCTCTTCAGGATGTGAATAAATTAATGACTCTAATTAAAACCGACGTTAAACACATTACATGATATATTAGTAATGACATTCTTGACATCGTTGCTATCACGTAACGTGCCCTACATAGCACGTGGCTCACGTCGAATGAGCGTCTATCATTAAAGCCTCATCATAGGACGGTCCTTTGAACTCCATGGAGATAATTTCGGAAACATTTATATTTATCTATTTAAGGTGAACCGCTAAGCCAAAAACACCTCGCACCTTGAGTGATTTTCAACTGCCCATTTACTAAACCCCGTTGAAACAGGAAGCCTGGGAGATGTGTGGTGAACGCCTTCGGAATTCTCGCGTCTCGCTAGGATGCGCGACGCGGCCACGCTGTCACTCGGGGGGCGTGGGGGGCATGAGACTCGTGCGGTGAACATCGGCACGCTGCTAACCACCAAGCGCATGTGCCCGCGAGCGCTCGTAGACTCTGGAACCAGCTCAAACCGCTGCCTCGTTACCGTCACGGAATTGGACTCGCCCACCGATTAAAAATTCTTCATCTTGTGTATCTCGTCCGGATACTTGAGCGGAATGTATTTCAGGATGCAATGTCGTCGCTGTGTTCGATAACATCACCTCCGTGTTTTTTACCTCTCCATTCACAAATTTAAAGTTTACCACTTTGTAGGCTATCGTAACCAATATCATCCATAGCACAGGTTGTTTTGGGTTAGATCGCAAAAATGTTCAGTTTTGAGGGATCCATCCGTCACCCTTCGCATCGTTGACAACGACACCCCCACAGCGCCCTTACTTCAATGGCTCTCGGCTCATCCCTTGGGCATGAAAGCCACGGCACTGCCTCTGTGTTGCCGTGCCTCCTGCCACATCCCTCCTCCCCACGCCAACCTCATGCTGGAATCGCACGCACCCTCTCACACTCACGCCCTCGCAGGCACCCCCTCGCATGCACCCCCTCGCACTCACGCACTCGCACGCACGCCCTCGCATGCACCCCCTCGCACGCACCCCCTCGCACTCACGCACTCGCACGCACGCACTCGCACGCACGCCCTCGCACGCACCCCCTCGCACGCACCCCCTCGCACGCACCCCCTCGCACTCACGCACTCGCACGCACGCCCTCGCCGACGTCTCCACCTGCGCACCCGAGACATCCCTCGCTCGCCCCGCTGCCACCACCTCCCACCCCACCACCTACACCCTTCCCCTCGCCCACCTCATCACAGCCTTCTCTCCTTTCCCATTCTCTCCCGTGTCTCGTGCTCCACCTCCCGTGTGTCCTCCTCCTGCTCCCACTCCTCTTCCTCCTCGTCGTGCCAGCAATGGTACACGGCGGCGATGGCCACGACCTGCACGTGGCTCACGGACCGCGTGGATCTGCAGCTGCACGTCTTCCAGCTCAAGACGCTCATCCGCATCGTCAAGGTGATGACGACGACGGCGACGATGACGATGATGATGACGACGACGATGATGTCCACGGCGGTGACCGAACGTCGCGGCTAGCAAGTGTGCAGGCGGTGCAGAGGCACCTGAACCCACAGTCGGCTGGGGCTATGAAGAGGGGGGAGGAGGGGACATGGGGCAGGAGGCCAAATTCCCTCTCTTGCCCCAGGACCCTGCTAGGGTGTCCAGACAGGTGGCGGTGGGTAGAGAACTCGACACGCAACCGGAAGGTTGCGAGTTCAATTTGTAGCGGAGGAGTCGATCTGGCCCATCACGGAGAGTCAAAGGTGGCCCACCCCCTCATGGGCCCACCCCCCCCCCCCGTATCCACGTCACGGTGCCAGATCTAAGACGGTTTAGTTTGACTTGGGGGGGGTGGGGGCCCCGCACGCCTCCCGCCACGGACGGCCCTGACGACGAGTGACCTCTTCATCTTCTTCCCTTTTCCCTTCCAGAAAATGTTCCGCGACTTCCGGCTGCAGGGCGTGCTGGACGTGACGCTGAACAGCAAGACGTACGAGACGGTGCGCAACCGTCTGATCGTGGAGGAGGCGACGGCGAGCGTCAACGAGGGAGGGGGCCTGGCGGGCGTCACCATGCGCGACAGCGACGAGGAGGGAGAGGAGCACGACCAATAAGCCCCCCACCCCCCCCCACCCGGTCCAACTTCGCCCGCACTCAAAAACTATAACAACAACAATAAACATAATTTAACAAACGCGCGACAAGACCGGTAATAACTCGGGGCGGCGGGGGAGGGGTTGGGACTGTAGCGGGAACCGCCGGCAGATCCACACCGGCAGAGCCACACCGGCAGAATCACACCGGCAGATCCACACCGGCAGATCCACACCGGCAGATCCACACCGGCAGATCCACACCGGCAGATCCACACCGGCAGATTCACACCGGCAGATCCACACCGGCAGAATCACACCGGAAGATTCAGACCGGCAGATCCACACCGGCAGATTCAGACCGGCAGAGCCACACCGGCAGATTCACACCGGCAGATTCAGACCGGCAGATTCACACCGGCAGAGCCACACCGGCAGATCCACACCGGCAGATCCACACCGGCAGAATCACACCGGCAGATCCACACCGGCAGAGCCACACCGGCAGGATCCACACCGGCAGATTCACACCGGCAGATTCACACCGGCAGATTCAGACCGGCAGATTCACACCGGCAGATTCACACCGGCAGAGCCACACCGGCAGATTCACACCGGCAGATCCACACCGGCAGGGCCTTTTGCAAAAGCAAAGCGCTGGGGGTTTTGGAGAAAGCGAATTGAATTGGGGGGGGGGGGGGGATGGATGCGCGAGGCTACAGGGGGATCTGGCGGAGTTTATCCTCCCTGCTGCGGTTCGGCCCACCGGGGGCAACGTGGCCGATGTGGGCGACACCGCGGGCACCCACAACGCGACCGCCCTCCACACCCTTGCAAGCAATGATTAACAAGACAGCAACATATACTGTCGTACGAAATGTTGCTTTAGTTTTGTTTTAAAACGTGAATTTATTTTCCCATTTTTGTCTACGATGTGTGTTGTTGTTGTGCGGCAAACGAGCGTTCCTACGTCGCATTTAATGGACGCGAGTCTCTCGAAACCGGCAAACGCGGTCGGCATTCTCTGGTGCGGGTTTGGCGTCGGGCTCTGAAAGGGACTCGCGCCGCGGGGATCTCAGATCGGCGCGAGAGAGACGGAGAGAGAGGGAGCGCTCGAGAGGGTTGGAGAGAGGGTTAGAGAGAGAGAGGGTTAGAGAGAGGGTTGGAGAGAGAGAGGGTTAGGGAGAGGGAGTCCAAGCAGTCGACTGGGTTCTGAAACGCTGCACGCTGACTTTGGGAGCACGCGTGCCCCGGGCCGTGCCCGTGCGGGACGCGACATCGCCGCGGCTGTCACGTGCGTGCGTGCGCCCGCCTGAAGAGGAGTTGACTTTGAGCTCGCGAGCGAGCGAGTGGGTGAATCCCTCGTTGTATTCGTTTCGCTTCCTTCCTGAAACTTGACTTATTATTCGTTCTCGGCCTTCTGTGCCACATCCTAGGGTCTCGCCGCTAAACGTTCCACCTTTCAACCTCAGGATGTGATGTTTCCTTTATTGGTTTAACCCGAGCTTTACTCTTTTGAGACTTCTTCTTTATACCTGCAATAAAGTTATCGATCTAAAGAGCCTCTTAAACCATATAATTATATATTGTACTGCATGCATAGAAACAGAAAATACCGATCCCACGGCTGCAGCTTTCGTGTCTCGGGCGCTGTATCTGTCGTGCATGCACCGCCCCACACAGCGACCACGACGTCCCGATGGAAGCGCCACCCTTCCATGGCGCGGAGTGGCAGCGGCGCGCTGAGCGCAAGCCTCGCTCGGGCAGCCAAGAGGAGGAAGGGGGGTGGGGGGGATCTCGCCACGAACCGCTCAGCCTCCGTCTTGTCTTCCCCCCCCCCACCAATTTCCCCCCCCCCCCCACAAACCCCCCCCCCCCCCCCACCAATCCCCCCCCACCATTCTCTCCAAAGCTTTAGCCTTACGAGTGAACGTCCCATACTCACCGACGGGGTGGGGGGAACAGAAAGCACAGAACCGGGCACGTCTGGGACTGGGACATCCTCAGACCTTCTTGCTTCGGGGCTGCGAAGTCGCCGCGTCTGCGACCGCCACGTCTCGAGCGATGCTCGTTGGGACGCGCGTGACGCGCCCGGCGTGTTAGAGAGACCCTGAGAGTGGCGCGGGCGAACCGTGGCAGCCGTCCTTGCGTGGCTGCCTCGGCTGTGTTTGGTCCTGTGGCGAGGTCATGCTGCTGCACGAGCATCTCGTGTTCTCCGCGGAGCTTCCAGCGCATTGTGGGTATTTCCCACGATGCCGTACCACCCACAACGCCTTTTATCTGACCACATCTGTACTCGACGCTGCATCCCAATTAGCACGTTGCTTGTTGTGGGCTGATCAGCCCGTGCATTGGGAGATTTTATTTTTCGTGGGATTAACGGTCGATCGTGTTCTTGATTTCCTTTCAACTGCGTCCGGTTGCTTGCGACATTGCGAGTTTGCACGGCGCAGGGTGCAGACCTGCAGCAAAGGGCCCTTTGTGCTCCGTCGCTTCTGCCCCCTCCCCTCCACCCAATTCTGTTGCGTCTGCGCTGTTGGTGTCGTCATGGCCCCGAGGCAAAGAAAGATTCCTTCGGGAACTCTCAAAGTCAGCAGTGCACCACCGTGATTGGCTTTGAATCACAGAGCCGCAGCAGCAGCCGCAGCAGCTGTGATGTTGCCCTCTCTCTCTCAAGCTAAAGGCCGTCACAGGAGGAGGAGGAGGGCGCCTCGCGGCTGTGAAAAGGAAAAGCGCCTTGCGGGGAGCAAGCAAACGACGAGACGCGAGCCCCTCGTGCGGTCGTGATGCGGTGAGCATCCAACAACCGGCAGTCCGCGTTCAGTGGGGGGCTGTCCGACGATTCGATCTGAGACCGCCACCGGCACTGCGCGCGATCGCCTTGGGGGTCTCCGAGCCCGTTGCCGAACGCGCCGGGGTTCACTTGGCGATCGTGCGGCTGCGATGTTGTCACTTGACCAATGACTCGACACAAAACTCTAAAGCAATATCAACCGAAAACAAAGTGTTTTATTTATTTTCGTGACATTTGAATTCCGTTTAAACTTTTATTTTTCTCCGAGTGATAGATTTAATTCTTGAAATGCTGAAAGGTGTAATGAAGTAACGAGAGTTCATCAGTGCCCAGCTTCTGCAGACTTCCGTTAACAAAACTTCCTATTGAAAATTTTAAAGATACTGTCCATCAATGTGTTAAGTTTTGAAATCATAAGTGGCACCACCAGAACAATAAAAACATTTTATTTCATTTCAAACACCGTTTTAAAAGTAAACATAAATTAACATAAACTTGACCAACTAGGAAAAAAACACCCATCACTGTAAATAAATAACACAACGTGGAATTGGAATACATATGAGAAACAAAATAATTATTCAGCTTTGACGAAGACAAGTCTAATACGCGACTGCAAACATCCAGCGCTGCTATGTGAGTCTATCGTGATGAGTCCAGGTGGATGTGAACGATGTTGTAGAGCAAGGGACACCTCGGCTCTGAGCCAGACCTCCATCAGTCGAGGCCACTTGAGGAGTCTCGCGACTTGAGCCGCTGCTGCTGCTGCTGCCGCTGCTGCCGCTGCTGCTGCTTCTGTTGACGTGGCAAGGGAGTTCCCAATGTTCGACTGAGAGAGGTCTCGCTGCACGTGGAGCAGTCTCTTGTTTATTACCGCCAGCAACATTGAGATGACTCACTGCGGTGATTCACTCTGATGACTCACTGTAATTATTCACTCTGATGACTCACAATGATTATTCACTCTGATGACTCACTGTGATTATTCACTGTGATGATTCACTTTGATGACTCACTGTGGTGATTCACTGTGATTATTCACTGTGGTGATTCACTCTGATGACTCACTGTGATTTTTCATTGTGGTGATTCACTGTGATTATTCACTGTGGTCATTCACTGATGACTCACTGTGATTTTTCACTGTGGTGATTCACTGTGATTATTCACTCTGGTGACTCACTGTGGTGATTCACTGTGGTGATTCACATCGCTTCCTTGTCACCTCCCCACACTCCTCTTCCCGTACGATTTGATTCCCTTTCACCACTCGGGGTGGTGATTCCATGCCGAGTGTGCTCCGGCCTTGCTCTTGCACTGCCTCTCCTCTCGCCTGCGCGTGTCTCGTTTGCACTCTCCCCTCCGTCCCGGTAGTATGAAGTGGACCTTTGTGTACAATTTGCGTAAGGCACACGTGCTCGATTCGTGCAAGGCACGGTTCGATGCGTCGCTTGTGAGTGTGAGTGACCGCTTGCCATCGCTGCGTTCTACCATTCCGACCCGCTCCTACTGGACATCTGTGAAAAATAATTATCTTGATCGCTCATCGGACTTGTCAGGTGTACATACAGAGAGAGTTTCGTCCTGTTCACCGATTGCAACATCGGCAATGAGAATCTGCGCTGCTGCCGATGGAACTCGCGACGTTTAGAATCGCTCGTCCCCGTGGCAAACGATCTTCACGAAGCATCTTCGGGAATCGCGACGCACCGTATCAGCGCACCGTTGTGGCGAATCACAAGGTGGTAGGAACGAACCGGATCCGCGTGTTGCTCCCTGCGGTGTTAAATGAACAAACGGCAGTGCGGGGTTTTCTGTGGCTTTTGGCACCATCGGTTAATCGGTGACCGTGGGGGGCTGTCCGGAGTGGTCGACGAGCAAACCTCCTCCCCGCTCGTGGACCCCCTTCGTTGCTGGCGAACCTCGCAAGCCCGCACCTCTCGATTAGCGCGGTTGGCCACGTACGGTGCGAAAGAAGTTCAAAGTCCTCAGCCGCTAGGATATAAAAAAACACCACCACCAGAACCCCGCGTGAGTGACCACGACGGTGCGGTGACAGCCCCCCCAAGAATCTTTTGGCAGAAGGGGAAATGTAAACGCGACGACTGTTAGTAGAAATGTTCAATTGAACACACAACATCGACATCGATGTCTCGTGGGCAACACTTGGCGCGCGTGAGTCACCGCTACACTTGCTCGGGCTGTACGTAGACGGCGGCGATGGCGACGACGATGATGTTGATGATTCGTTCGCCGCGTCGTGGCACCGCTGCCACGCGGACCTGCCAAGCGACAGTAGCAAACGCCAGGATGCGGCGCTGGCTCGGGAGTTTGTTGACGTTTTACGAGGCGCGCATCACGTCCCGCATGCCGAGTTGCCGGAGCCGCGGCCTTCTCAGACAAACGCCGCTCTTGTGGCAACAATCACGCATGTTTGTGTCGCCTGCGTGTCTGTCTGCAAAAACAAATCCAACCGATGGCATTTCGCTTCGGGTTGTGTGCCGCCCGGTTGTCAAGAGGCATTGCGAGTTGCTTCGCTGTTGGACTTCTCTTTAAAGCTTTCGTGACTGCAGGGATTCATCTTCTTGGTTCTTTCGGTAAAGTCACGTAGAAGGGAAATAATAAAATAATAAAACATAATAAAATAAAATTATCACGACGTTTCGGCCACAACGCAAGCAGACGTTGTCTTTCCGACAGCCCTGTTCTTCACCTGAGGACGGCTGCTTGCGTTGTGGCCGAAACGTCGTGAGAATTTTATTATGTTTTATTTTTCTTATTTTCTTATTTCCCTTCTACGTGACTTTACCGAAATGACCAAGAAGATGTTGGACTCCTGTTGCATTTCTTGGTGTTCCATTGTTGCTTGGTCTTATTATTTCTCACGTCTTTTTTCCCCGGTGTGTTTGAAAGCCGAACCTGTACCTACTTCACGGACCAGTGAACTTGAAACTGAAATGTGTAATATGCTCACACGATTCGTTTGGCTAGTTGAACTAAAGCCGTTGATTCGTCTTGAAGGGAAGCGTTGCACCTTTAAAGTGACTTCTACAGTACATCTTTATAGCATCGTGTTGCTTAATTGAGGCCTAGACTACATTATTTCAAGTCTAGCTCATTGGTCTCACTAGGACTTAAATTAAAAATTTTGTTACTTGTTTGTGGAAATGCACGTACCTCCTTTTAATGATTAATGATGACAAACCAATTGTCACATTAATGCCATTCGTGCAAGTACCATTTGTTTGTGCAACTCAACTTCATCGATTCTAATTGTTCCACCAAATGCTACGGTTTACGATTGCGTACACGAGACGTCAACGTAGCCACAAGCAAGATGCACTCTTTCAAGTAACGTGGCATTCCATGAACTAAATTCCAATGATGAAATCAAGATGTGGTGGAGCGGCGGTTATAGTTGATCGTGTTACGAACCCCAGAAACCCGAACTCAATTCAGTGATATCAGAACTGGTCCTAGGTACCCTCTGATCATCAAACCGCATTGAGAGCTCGGAGCAACAGTCTGGAATAGCCACGAGCACAGCAATTGGCCTGGGTAACAAACAACCCTTCTTTGAATGAGTTTGACATCAAATGATGCATTCTAATTAATGTACCGTTCTCACGTTGTGAATCGTGGCAATTTTTAAACATTGTGGTTAAAGCCCAGGAAGGTTATTTCCACTGGATTAAATGTGCGGGGATTAATGTCTGGCTCACGCAGCAAAATTACGAACAATTTAGCGGCTCGGAATTACGCGATCGAAGTTCTAGAAAACTACGGCTAAGTAACAGACATTAGCCAACACTGACAACCCGTGTAATTGCACAGCCCTGCAGACGATGCTGGGAGTTGATCAACGCTGAGACAGCAGCAATCGAACCCCCGTCTCTTCCAAGTACAATTTGACCGCATGTCAGGACGCACAGACGCGACTTGATACGCCACCAGCTGCATGACTCCAGCTCGTGTAAGCACAGATCTCTCGCTCTCTGCAATGTGAAGCCGTTCACATCACGCGATGTACGCAAAGTT